CCCCCGTGAAAGCCAGAAGGGATCAGGTAAAAACCTGCCAGGAGAGAGCAGACCCATTTTCTGCAAACAGATCCTTGGTTATACAAAGAGTAAGTAAGGAAATAAATAAGGAAAAGCTACCTAATAGGAAAAGGCCTTTCCTTCTGCACCAACTGTAGCAGCATCTCTATCAAAATGTGGCCTTCCTGGCCATTTTAATAACCACCATAGAAGCCATTCATTTTTTTGTCCATTTAGATAAAGTGCGTCCCCTCTTCTCTGTCAGTTTTCCTTCTTGAAGAGATTTCTGTAGTTTAGGATCCAAAATGGAAGCCCTTTCTTCTCTGTAAATATACTATATAGGTAGCCACTGGGCTGGAAATATAAAACAAGGACCACCAGAGCTAACAGACAGATAGAGATATTCACTTTCCAGACCGGGGCACAGCAGCGAAGAAATTCTAGCAGAGTTGGCCGAGTGGGAAGAGTTTGTAAGTGCTAGAAAGATGGCTCATGAGGTATATGCTACTTAAGGATTGAAGACTGGCCCTCTGGAGAGGACAGAATGGGTCCCTAGGTCTCACTGAGTAAACAAGTCACCTTACTCATCGGTCAGGAGGGCTGCTTCAGCCAGGTCCCGGAAGGGTCTGGATTCCTGGAGTCTCTTGATGTTTACAGCTGTCCAACAGCTTCGGCTGCATCAGAGAGTTGGGGAGGAGCTCATGGGCAGTCCTGCTCCAAGGGGAGAATGTAATGTCACTTTCCTGGTCACTTTACCAGGACTCCTCCCAGCACCTCCACGAGAGACCCTTAATGCTGGTGCTGCTCTTTAGACATGTTATGTGTTATGTAATGAGCCTGCACATATCTATGCAAGTAGGTGTCAAAATATAACCTCCTGTACCTGTCAGGTCAAGCAGGGGGATGACCAGATGTCTTCCTTCTGAACAAAGGTAAAGGGAGAAAGGGGACTGCAGAAATCTCAGTCTTCTAAATCCCAGAATTCCAGGAATTTTATTGTTAGGAGTAAAGAACATTACATCTTTTTTATCTTGTTTTCCTCCACCAGTTGCATTTTTGAAAGGGGGCACAGGGCATAACATGAAACAGCCCTAAATCCAGAGAGCAGCTTTCCAGAACAGCAGTGCCCTGCCTGAGCTGGCTCCCGGACTCGTCTTCTCGTGCATCTCTGTCAGTGTGTGTCCGTTTTTGCATTTCAAGAACAGACATTAAGTTTTGCTATTATATATATATATGTCTTCTGTGTATTTTAAAAATTGAGATATACTTGAAATTGAAGCAGTTGCAGGTGTACAGCATAATGATCCACCATTTGTATGTACTGCAAATGATCACCACGATAGGCCTGGTTAAGATCTATCCTTGAGAACTTTTAAGATCTACTCTCTTAGCAACTTTCAAATACAATAGAGTATTATTCACTCTAGTCACCATGCTGTATATTACATCCCAGGACTTATTTTATAACTGGGAGTTTTGTTAAAAATACATACAAGTTTGTATTTTACTATTATTTTATTTATTTTTTTCTTCTTTTTAATATTTTATTTTTGCTATCACCGTTTATACCCTCTTCCACCTCCATCCCCACCCCCCACCATCACCCCGCTGTTGTCCATGTCCATGAGTTTTCTTTTTTTTTTTCTTTTTTTGCTCAATCCCTTCCCTCCTCCCCACACCAGAGTTATCTGCCTGTTTATTTATGAGTCTTCCTCTATTTTGCTTGTTAGTTCAGTTTTTTAACTATTATTTCAAAATTTAGGTTCTTTGGTACCTAGATTATTTGTGTGTGTGTGCGTGTATGTGTAATTTTCTGTGGACGCTGGCAGAAAATCTTGTGGGTTTTTGTTTTTGTTTTTTGCTGTCAAGGGTCCCTCCCCTGCAGGACAAAATCCACAGTGCCTGGCATGCAGCAAATGCCCAGTCGGTGTTTGGTGAATGACCACCTTCAGGAAGAGTCACTCTGTGATCCCTCCTACCATATGCTGCTTTGTCTCTGAGCTATGATGTTGTTTGCTTTATTTGGAAAATTTATTTATCCTTTCAAATATATATATTTTTAAAATATATCTTTATTGATTTCAGAGAGAGGAAGGGAGAGGGGGAGAGAGAGAGAGAAACATCAGTGATCGGCTGCCTCCTGCACGCCCCCAACTGGGGATTGAGCTCACAACCTGGACATGTGCCCTGACCGGGAATTGAAGCATGAACTCCTGGATCCTAGGTCGACGCTCAACTGCTGAGCCACGCCCAGCTGGGCCAAATATTTTTTAGCAAGTAGTGAGTTTCTACCATGAATCAGACATTAGGGAAACCCCGGCAAGAAAGTTGTCGTGTACTAATGTAAGAAATAATTGAGTTTCCCTGTGTCCCTAGTTTTGTTTTTTCTTTAATTGAGGTGAAATTGGCTATTTGCAAGTGTATAATTCAGTGGCGTTTAGTACAGTCATGATATGTTGCAACCACTACCTCCACCTAGTTCTAAAGCATATTTTTCACCTTCAAGGAGCTCTGTATCTATTAATTGGTCACTCCCCATTCCGTCCTTCCCCCCAGCCCCTGGCAACCAGTAATCTGCTTTCTGTTTCTTAGGAATTATTGTTTGCTTTTTGCCTAGTGAATTTGAAAGGAATGATGTTATCTCATTTGATGCGTTGCCACTTGCCTGAGGATAACCATCTAGAAGCAAAGGCCAGCATTCAGGAGTCACTGAGGTCAGCTGGCCTGCCTGTAGAACGTGCTTCCTGATGCCAACGTGCTTTTTCCTAGGATGGTTGGTCCCGACGTTATCCCGCTGCCGCATATATATGGAGCTAGAATCAAAGGTGTGGAGGTGTTCTGTCCCCTGGACCCTCCGCCGCCGTATGAAGCTGTGGTGAACCAGACCGGCCAGGAGCAGGTACTGCCCCTACAGGTTCTCTTTGGTATGCTGATCACAAGTGGGAAAAGCAGCATTTGGTACAGAGAGCAACGGGAGACCGAGCTCTGCAGATCCTTTTAAGTTCACTGAGCCTATGTGATACTTGAGGTGAATATCAGCAAATATTCCTCTTTTTCCTGTGATGCAGGCATCTTCATTCCAAATGTCAGAGGGATCAGAAGCCGCCACAAGCCCGATGCAACCGATCGGCATGCCAGTGACTCAAGGTAATAAATACAGGATCACAGCCCAAATTTGTGATTCAGTAAATTAAAACAGGGTAAAATAATGACCTGGATGGTATTTTGTTGGAGGTCAGATATTCTTGGAGCAAATGAGTCAAGCGACAGCCTTTCCAGGTGCAAAACTACTATCAGCATTAGGGCTTACCAGTGGGAGAGAACATTTGGATCTTTTATGAGTAACCAGACTGTTCTCAGGGACTTATGAAATAGATTGCAGAGGTTAATTTTGTGTTCCTGTGTTTTCCAACCTAAGATTGTTTTTTCTTCTGTTAAAATTAGATGAGCTCTTTTGAAGAGAAAAAAGCATTTCATTTATTACAGAGTGATTTGCTTTGAAGTTACGCTGTCATTTATAACCTAGGGCCCCAGTCATGCTGCCTGAACATGTAGTGATTTCTGATTTCCAGTCCTGCATTAAATATTGGAGTTGGTTTATATTTATTATTGTAATTTAAGGGAACATTGTTGCAGCTTTTTCCTCTTTGGAGAGGTTTTAAGTGTCCCAGAGAGTTGTTCACAGGACAAAATTGCACATGGTAATGATCAACCTTTAACTATTTCAGATGGAGCTGATTTTTCAGCAGTACTATTTGGAGTTAGGATTCTGTTCTATTTACCTTCCGTCTTATGTAGAATTAAGCAGCGAGCTCTGTTTCCTAAGCATGTTTGTAATTCTTCCATTTTTAAAAAAAGTTTCCCAGACCACAGTTCATGCTCACTAATGATTTTATTTTCCCAAGCTGAAGTCATCCAGTTCCAGAGTGGTTTTACTGATGCATTTAACGGGTGCTGGCTCTTTAACCTGGCTTTCCAGAGGTTTCATAGCCTGGCCTGCAGATACCCCCTCTGCCTGCACTTGGCCTGCAGGGCGCAGGGCAGCCACTTCACCTGGGCCGGTTTTAATTTCCACCCAGCCAAGCTCGTCTGGAATGATCAGAAACTAAGATGACTCGGAGCTTTCCCATCCTGAGGCCGTACCAGGAGGCCCCTATGGAGAAGATACTAAGTACCTTTACCTTTAGAAAAAACTGACATTTTGGCAAGGCTTCTTTATTTGGATTTAACGGCTTTGCTTGTTTGTTTTAGGTCTGTAGTGGTGGTTTGGAGAGGCAGTGTTTCCCATAGTGCCGGGAAATAAGAACGCTCTGGGCCAGCAGCCTAGGCAAACGCTGTTAACTGTGTTACCCTTGCCCTGGCAGCTTTGGGCTCACAGGTGTTTCCTGCCCAACATTTTGAGGGCTGCAGCTGGCAAAATAATTTTTGTTTCTCCTCTTAAAAATATGCTCAGATGGGAACATTCCTAACACACCTGGAGAAGAAAGCACATCCACTTCAGCTGCTAGCTCAAACCAGCTACATCCTGGGAGAAGCCGGAGAGCCCTCCAGCCCGAGCTGACAAGATGGAAGAGTGACCCCGTGCTCCATCACTCTGCGGAGAGAGGTGAGCACTCGCGCCCTGAGGAGCACTTCTCTGCCTCCAGCTGCCAGGTGAAAACAGGTGGCTCTGGTCACCCAGGGCCCTGCAGTTCAAGAGGTATCTTGAGAAAATAAGATATTCTAGATGCTCATTAGGAATATACATCTGCCCCATCTTATAAGGCTGGTGGGGTGTTTTTCTTTGTAAGTCATTTTCATCAAAAGCATTTGGTTGCAGACGATACCATCGTAGGTACTACATGAGGAAAATAGCGCAAATCCAGTTCTGATTTCTAGGTGCTCGCAGTCCTGTGGGAACACACGCTCTCTCTCAAGGAAAAAGTCAAAGGGTGGTATGTTTTAAATCCCCTCTTCTTTAAGTTAATGTTAGTTATCTTTTTACTAAGTATGAATAGGTTGAATTATTTAAATCTGATGTTGTTTTAAAAACTTTGGATAGAGTGAAACTCATACTTCATCTCCCCCCCTCTGTTTTGAGTTTGTTTGTGTATAGATGCTATTTGAATATATGAATACATGAACATCTCCACATATGTCTTCATTATAGAAAATTGTAAAAAATAAAGGAACAGCACTGGCCAGTTTTGCTCAGTGGTTGGAGCATCAGCCCACGGACTGAAGGGTCTCGGGTTCGATTCCTGGTCAGGGGCATGTACTTCTGTTGCTGGCTCGATCCTGGCCCAGTAGGGAAGTGTGCAAGAGGCTACCAATCGATATGTCTCTCTCATCGTGGGAGTGTTTCTTTCCCACTCCCCCATGCTCTCTAAGAACAATCAATGGGAAAAATATCCTCGGGTGAGAATTAACCAAAAAAAAATTAAAAAACAATAAATAAATAAATGAAGGAACTAAAGGAAGAAAAAGAAACCTGCTGTAATCTTATCCACACCAGCCTCTCTCAGTGACTTTCCTCACAGTGGCCTTTGCTCTCCTCATGCTCTATGCAAATGCTATTCTCACCTTGCTTCCTCTGGGGCCCTTTGTCACCCCCTTCGTTCTGGTTCCATCCCTCTGACAGCCTGTGTTGTTTGCGCAGCTTTGGACTGACCATGTGGGAGCCAGAGAGAACACTCCTCTTGTCTCTGCTGTGGCTCCTGGGGGAGGAGCCCGCCACCTGGGACTGAGCGCACGAGCCCTGCAGCCTGGCCCCTCAGCTCCCAGGCCTTTCTTCACTGCAGGTCTCTGCCCTATCTGGCAAGTTGAGGACTTGAGCTGGCCACCTGCCGGCCTCAACGGGAATGTTGCTGTCTGCACAGCTTAGAGAGATCTTTCCAGAACCCCTCCCATTCTGCAGTGCTGCAGGGGCGAGGATGACGCCTGTTTACCTGTTGGAGCCCTCCGTTGTGGAAGGGACCAGGTTGCCTTCAAGTGACCGAGTGTAGCCCCTGTCCCCACACAGGAGTGCCTGTAGGGAGTGTTCCTGGGAGACCTTGGCTCTCTGTGATACACTCCTAGCAGCCGAGGTGGACGCCGCTAACTGCTGTTTGCAGATCCGCATGCCTGCTCTTCACCAGCAGCAAGGGCGCTCCTTGTCCTCCACCTGTTCCCCACCCCCC